TCTAGATGTGTATAAGAGACAGCTCTCTCTCTCTCTCTCTGTGTGTGTGTGTGTGTGCGTGTGTGTGTGTGTGTGTGTGTGTGTGTGTGTGCGTGCGTGTGTCTCTCTGCATGCGAGTGTCTGCGCGGCGTGGAGTGTCCCTCAAACGTACCAGCAAGAGTGTTATACGCAAGAGTTCCAGTGACCACTTCTCCCACCACTGCTGGCAACGTTAAGAGTTAAATATTGATACTGAAGAAGAAACAATAAGGCATCCTTACAGTTCTTTCTCGATGTTGAAAGATTCTTCACTTTTCCACGTTGAAAAAATGAAGGGCATGGCACTCGCTAATGAGAGGAAACAGTAACCAGGAGCGCGATGGCGGGAGTTGATGCTCGATGTGCTGCTACCCAATCTGAGGACATAACTACAAAAAAAAACGTTGTTCCGGTTCGAAAAGCTTCCTCTCTCCGCCCGCAAGAAGAGGGACAGACAGAGAGGGGCGTATGCAACACAGCTAGAGGCAGGGAACCTGCAGGGAGGTAGGAGAAGGTTAGGAGAGTGAAGCCAACAACGAATAGAACGTTGGAATAGGTCTGGCAAGCCCAGAGGATGGCAGCAACCACCTCGCAGGCAAAGGGAAGCACCCCGGCAAACAGGAGAGATGAGGCTATGGAAATACAGAAGACAATGGGGAGAAGATGGGTGACACAGACACACCTGATCTGACGGCGCGTGGGGTACAGCGGCACCAGCCGCTAATGGCCGCCGCTTCGACCGAGCAATTTCTGGCGGCACAAGTAAAAACAACGCAAATGGAGACGAGTGCCAGGGGGCGCGCGACGAGGAGCAGGCGCCCTACCTCTCGTAACGGGTGCGAAGACGGGCGGACGAGTGAGGCCACACCTCACCTTCTTCTCGATTGCCCAGACGAACCCACTGCCAAAAGAAAAATTGCACAGTACTACCGGTAGCCTTTTTTGGTCTTGTTTCGCAATCGCAATTCTCATTTGTGTCCCCTGTCCACAACTCTGGGTTCGGCGAAGTTGCGTTGGGGTTGGAGCTGGCTACCTTCCAGGTTAGGCACTGGTGGTAGACTCGTTGGAGTCAAAATGTTGCAGCAGTAGGAATCGAGTTGCATTGCATCAGTAGGAAGAGGGAGGCGGAGTGCGAGGAGAGCGGCGAGTGAGAGTAGAGGAGTCGAGGACGAGGGCGCCGGAAATGTATGTTATGTCGAGCGCGTTTGAATCTAACCATCCATCTCTTCTGACCAGTTGTTTGGACAACCAAAAAATTCCCCCCAAATCGGGGGGCGGGAAATGTAGTGTAGCCCCTCGGCATCCGCCCCTCCACCGCAGCAGACGATCTCGGCGGGGAGCCGCCAGTTCTTGCCGCTCCGCCGGCATCCTGCGCCGCTGCTTTTATTTTTCTTTTCTTCTTTTCTTTTCTTTTCTTTTCTTTTCTTTTGTACTGTGAATAGCGTTCTCAGTCTTCCAGACACTCACCTTTTTCGGAACTCCAACGTTCGCTCGCCACCAACTGGTCCTGTGTAGGTCATACTCGCACGAATTCTTTGTTTATGGCCACAGATCTTCGATAATCTACGCTCCAGAACGAGGGTTCGGGTAAGTCGGACGTCGCACGGCAAATCTTGGCGCCCCTTACGACCAATCCCCACTGGTGCTACGTCGTTGTAAAAGAGCATGAACCTAGACATCTGGATGACGATGTTCAGGTTTTCTAGGCACGAACACAGGCCTAGTGGCGCACAGCCCTATTGGTCTTGGAGGGGATCTTGTAGTCTAGCATTGTTTTCCTTTTCCGGTGTGTCAGTGACCACAGTTCGAGTCGGGGTTGGTAAGAAGGGGGAAAAGAAGGGGAGAGGAAGAATGCATGGGTCAGATCCAGATAAAATAAGGAAAATAAGAGTCCACAAAAACATGCTTATTCTTTAGCTGTAAAAAAACTTTGTAATTGTGAAGTACCATTACGAGCTCAATATATACGAGTGTTATTTTGTGAGATCACACAGGTAAGTCATCAATGTGGACCGAAGGGCCGTGGTGGGGAATGTTGAGGGTGCGTGGGGCGGCTTCACCAAAGGGCCTCATTCCACTACTCGCCTCCGCCACAAACAGCAGCGAGACTTGGCGAGGCTGAAAACTGCATTTTTACGGCGGAAAACGGCTCTTGGTTCCATTACATTGCCGCCGCCACGTGGGCTGTGGTTGCTGTCCCGGCCTGCTCCCCGGACTGTGGCGGAGCGGATGGCGAGCTAATGAAACGGTGGCGGCCTTCTCTTCACCATGAACTCGGACTGGAAATCACTCCAGGTGCAGCGAAAACTCGCCAACACTAGGGGACAACACAGGTCGATTGTCAGGACCGCTATGTCAGGGGCAATGGCCACACGAAGCATTTAGCGGAGGGGCGAGGAGTAGCGCCTCCACGAAGGGCCGTTGCAGGCAGGGGAAATGGAAAGCCTTGGCGACACATCGCCAAGTGATTTCGGACCCAAATTCTGACAGCGTCCATTTCGTGGCTATTGGCGATGCAGTGGAACGAAGTCGCATCTGCCATGCGTGGTGGATGGCGAGTAGTGGAACGAGGCCTAAAATCAGGCCAGAGGAAAAACTGGGCCTCAGTGAGATCCACGGGCCAGAAGAGTTGTCCCTGCACGGGGTTGCATACAAGATGAGCCTTGGTGCTGGTCAGACTCCAAAGACCGCAACACGAGAAAGCTTGCAACCTGCAGTGGCTGGGCAATCTCCAGTCAGTTATGTTGTGCCTGGCCCAGGGAGAGCACAGCTCGGACAACCGGTGCAGCTATTTTGCACCCCGGGTAAGTCTTGTCATCCCACGAGCCTGTACGTTGATGATGGGTGTTGACAGCTCTCTGTCGTAGATTGTTGAACCTTGTAGAACAAATTGTCATTAGATGAAACCTTACCACTGGTGTCATTAATCTGTGACCACGATGTCGAGCGCATCAGTCTCATAGAGGGACCGTCCTGGCCTCATCACGCAGGATTAACAAAAACTTTTTGGGATCCGAACAATGAAGCAGCAGTGCCGCTCCAGCTGAGTGCGCCAACTTTACCTTCATCGAGTCTCTACGACAGGATAGGGCCTTGCGAGGTACAACTTACCTCCACCTGTGAGAGTTGTCACCGTCCCTTAGGTGGGCATATCCCCACCGAGTTACCGAACCACATCTTAAAGTTTCTAGATGCAATCGCAGAGGTGGCTTATCCAAGGATGTTTCTCGTACGTTGTAGCATAAAGAGTACACAAAGTTAATGCCTAGATCAAACTTGTACTCGAACCACTACGCAGGACATTCAGTCCTCGCTTACCACTGCACTTTGCCTAAAGGAGAGAGTCGTCGCGAAGGTGGAATGATTTATCCTTCAATCGTTCTATGTCATGAGAGAAACTTTTTATGTTTGACACTCATATGTCGTGCACAACCTTAAACCCCACAAAGGTTCACGCTATCGGCCACGACGGTCCCATATCTTGCGAGAAATGTCGGACCTCACGGTCGTGTCACGCAGCGTAAGTACTAATTTTTCATTCGGCGGAGATACCACTTTGATCGTGCATGTCATCTATACCTCTCACGGCTCCGTGCAACAGGACAGGGCTTCGCAAGGTACAACTCACCTCTACCCGAGGGGTTGTCACCACCCTCAAGTAGGCATATCCCTGTTGAGCTAC